GTAGGTGTGGGTGCACCGTTCCCCTGTCGTGGGACATTTGGTTGCTGCCAGGATTTCAGTGTTATAAATAGTGCTTCAGTGAACAGTTGTGTGTGTGGAATGTATTCAGTTGCTTCTTGGGAAACCTCAGGCGGGTTCCATCATCCCTGTGTCTCTTTTGCCTGCGTGCTAGATCGGGGTAGGGCAGCATCCACCTGAGAGGACAGGTGCGTGGACAAATGAGGTAGTATGACAAAGCAAACGCTCAGCGACGTTTGCCTCCTAACCTCTGTTTGGGTTTGTTGTTTGGGGCTTCCTCTCCAGAGATGAGGTTTCATCATTCACCGCTTCCAGAAGTATGTTAGCAGTTTATAAAGTCAAAAGCATTATGTGAAAGAACCAATTTCTCTACACCCTCACTAGCAGTCGTCCCAGGGTTTAACTATGTAACTCTCTTCCCTTTAAAATAATAGTGAAAAAAACAGTTTCGTCTGTATTTGAGCAGCTTGTTAGGACAGGACTCACTTGAGCTCACTGCTCTAACCAGTCCCGACCTCATCTCACAAAGGTTGGGTTCCAGAGGCTGTTTGTAAGTCTTTTTCCAAAGCTTATAGTCCCCACATGCTTTCTACCAAATTGTAGTGTAGGTTGGTCCTTTGAAGCTTAAAAATCCAGTGCATTTTATTCCTTACTGAAGTACATACTGACTGTTGGATATCTTTTTATTTTTCCAAACAGACCAACAGTTTGCTCTAGAAGATCTGCTGTGGCTGGTCGTAATTTTGATGATTCCCTTCCCTGCTCCCAAGAAAAGAAATCGGTGAGGGTAACCACATGTCCTGGTTTGCCCAGTTAATACTTGTCCTGATGACTTTGCATTGCCCACTTCACCGTCAAAAGTGACCTAGTTCGGATGATAAGTTACATTGTCACCCTCCCCCCAGGGGATTCCTCAGCAGCTGAGGTATCTGCCTGCTCTTTCCACCTCACTCCTCCCCCAGACTTTTTTCTCTCTGCCCAGCAAAGGCTTCAGCCACATGGCTTTCTCCAAGCTTCCCCAGGGGTCCTCATGTGTGCCCAGCCTCTTCTGAGTTAACGTTAACCCAAAAGGCGTTCACACAAGTTTTCCCATTTCCTCACTCTTTTGCCCGCATATCTTGCTGATGGTCGCCAGTGGCATGGGCAGGGTAGGGCACTTTAAGTTTGTTTCAGAAGTTGCTCTTTGTCCTTTGGAATTAATATTTTGCAGCTCAGTTCATCCCACAGGCAAATGTAACGTTCCTCATTTCTTACCACTTGCAATTTTTTTTAACTTTAAACTGAGTGTAGTCTTTTTTTTTCTTAAACTAAATTTCATACTTTTTTTCCAGATGCTTTGGCATCATATAGAGGCAGCCTTTTGGTGCTTTTTTTTAAATTGAAGTATAATTGACTTACAATATTATATTAGTTTCAGTGTACAACACAGTGATTTTATATTTTTATACATTACAAAATGATCACCATGATAAGTCTAGTTATCATCTGTCACCATACATAGTTATTACAGTGTTACTGACTATATTCCCTATGCTGTATATTATATCCCTGTGACATTTCTTTTATACATGGAAGTTTATACTTCTTATTCTCTCTCACCTATTTCACTCATCTCTCTCCCCCATCCCCTTTGGCAACCATACGTTTGTTCTCTGTATCTGTGAGTCTGTTTCAGTTTTGTTGTTCGTTTTGTTTTTCAGTTTCCACATATAAGTGAAATCATACAGTATTTGTCTTTCTCTGACTTATTTTGCTAAGCATAATACCCTATAGGTCAATCCATTGTTGTCGCAAATGGCAAGATTTCATTCTTTTTTTATGGCTAATATTCCATTGTGTGTGTGTATGTGTATATATATGTATCCCATCTTCTTTATCCATTCATCCATCAGTGGGCACTTAGGTTGCTTCCATATCTTGGCAGTTGTAAATAATTCTTCAGTGAACATAGGAGTGCACATATCTTTTCAAATTAGTGTTTTGTTTTCTTTGGAAAAATACCCAGAAGTGGAATTCCTGGATCATACAGTAGTTCTGTTTTTAATTTTTTGAGGAACCTTCATACTGTTTTCTGTAGTGGCTGTACTAATTTACTTTCCTGAATGAGGGTTCCCTTTTTTCCACATCCTTGCCGACACTTGTTACTTGTAGTCTTTTTGATGATAGCCATTCTGACAGGTGTAAGGTGGTGTCTCATTGTGGCTTTATTTTGCATTTGCCTAATGATTAGTGGTTTGAGCATCTTTTCATATGTTTATTGGCCATCTGTATAAAACTTCTTTGGAAAAATGTCTATTCAGATCTGCTGCCCATTTTTTAATCAGGTTGTTTGGGTTTTTTTGTTCTTGAGTTGTATGAGTTGCATATATCATTTGCAAGTATCTTCTCCCGTTAAGTAGACTGCTATTTTGTTGATAGTTTCCTTTGCTGTGCAAAAGCTTTTTAGTTTGATGTAGTCCCATTTGTTTATTTTTGCTTTTGTGTCCCTTGCCTGAGGAGACAGAGCCCCTCAAAATATTGCTGAGACTGATATTAAAGCTCATATGGACAGAGTTTTTTTGGTTTCAGGTCTTATTTTTAAGTCTTTAATCCATTTTGAGTTTATTTTTGTATGTGGTGTGAGAAAGAAGTCCAGTTTCATTCTTTTGCATGTAGCTATCCAGTTTTCCAGTACCATTTATTGAAGAGACTGTCTTTTCCCCATGGTATATTCTTGCCTTCTTTGTCATAGATTAATTGAACGTGTAAGTGTGGGTCTATTTCTGCACTCTCTGTTCTGTTCCTTTGATCTATGTGTCTGTTTTTGTGCCAGTGCCATACTGTTTTAATTTCTGTAGCTTTGTAGTGTAATTGGAAATCAGGGAGCATGATACCTCCAGCTTTGTTCTTCTTTCTCAAGATTGCTTTGGCTTTTTGGGGTCTTTTGTGTTTCCATATAAATTTTAGAATTATTCATTCTAGTTCTGTGAAAAATGCCACTGGTACTTTGATAGGGATTGCACTGAATCTGTAGGTTGCCTTGGGTAGTATGGTCATTTTAATAATATTAACTCTTCCAATCCGTGAGCATGGTATATCTTTCCGTTTGTTTGTGTAGTCTTCAGTTTATTTCATCAATGTCTTATATTTTTCTGAATACAAGTCCTTTACCTCCTTGGTTAGATTTATTCCTAGGTATTTTATTCTTTTTGATGGAAGTGTAAATGTGATTCTTTTCTTAATTTATCTTTCTGATATTTCATTGTTAGTATATAGAAATGCAACAGATTTCTGTATATTAATTTTGTATCCTTCAACTTAATTCATTTGTTCTAATAGTGGTTTTGGTGGCAACTTTAAGATTTTCTTTGTGTAGTATCATGTCATCTGCAAACACTGACAGTTTTACTTCTTCCTTTCCAATTTGGATTCCCTTTACCTCTTTTTCTTGTTTGATTGCTGTGGCTAGGACTTCCAATTCCAGGTTGAATCAAAGTAGCGACTGTGGGCATCCTTGTCTTATTCCTGATCTTAGAGGAAATGCTTTCAGCTTTTCACTGTTGAATATGATGTTGGCTGTATGTTTATCATATATGTCCTTTCTTATGTTCAGTGTGTTTCCTCTATACCTACTTGGTTGAGAGTTTTGATCATAAATGGATGTTGAATTTTGTCAAAACCTTTTTCTGCATCAGTTGAGATGATCATATGATTTTTATTTTTCAGTTTGTTAATCTGGTATATTACATTGATTAATTTGCAGATATTGAACCATTGTTGCATCCCTAGGATAAATCCCATGGTGTGTGATCCTTTTAATATATTGTTAAATTTGATTTGGTGATATTTTGTTGATGATTTTTACATCTAAGTTTATCATTGATATTGGCCTGTATTTTTCTTTTCTTTCTTTTCTTTTCTTTCTTTTTGTGGCATGTTTGTCTGGTTTTGGTATCAGGGTGATGCTGCCTGCTTGTTTGGTTTGGCATCAGGGTGATGCTGGATGTTTCCCAATCTTGGAGGAGTGGCCTTATGTAGGAGACATCCTGTGGGTCCCAGCAGCACTCTTCCTTCTGGTCACCAGGACTATATAGGGGTGCCCCCTGTATGGGCCACATGGGCCCTTCTCTTGTGGTGGGGCTGACTTCTTTGGGCATGCTCATAGGTAGGGCTGGTCCCTGGCCCAGTTAGCTTCCAGGCCCTGCCTGTGTGGTGGCCACTGGCCTGCTGGTGGTTGCGGCTTATCCAAGGGTGATTGGCTGTAGGGCCTGGGGCTGGTTCTGACCCAGTAATGAACAGGCCTGGTGCTAATAGGCTAGATGGGAGGACTCCAAGATGGCACTTGCCAGCACTAGTGTCCTCATGGTAGAATGAGCGCCTCAGAATGGCCACCATCAGCGTCTGTGTCCCCAGGAGTTCCAGTTGCCTCTTGGCTTCTCTAGAAGATCAGCAAGTTCACCACTTGCACTTTTTAAAATTATATCTGCTTTAAAGTTTATCTTAAATGTAAACCTTGCCCTTATCAAATATAATAAGGTTATTTATATTCATAAAGCACCTCAAAAGCCCTCACGCAAACAGCAAGCAGGGCCAAGCTGAGTAAGCAGTACCAAGGACACAGCTATGGTGAGGCACACAACCCCCGTCTCTGTGATTGGTCACAGGCAGAGTCTTGTTCACAAGATGAAAGTTTATAAATGCAGAAGCTTCTGCATTGGAAAAACAAACACACATTAACCTCTCAATGGTGACTACCTTTTGTATGTAGGTAACTATATTTTAACTGCTAAAGGGCTTTGTGATTTGAGAGGCTCTCTTCCCGCCCAAACATGTGCCTGCATTTCTGGGGTACTGTGTTCCCAGTTTTAAGGTGAAAAAGCAAGTGTTTTGAATGAGAGATCCTGCCAGGTTGAACTAGTGCAGTGTCAGCTGGGGGACTGCAGTTCACAGGTCAGAATGTGAATTCGCAGTGGAAAATTCGTTTTTCTGTTTGTTTTAACCAGGTGACTTTCGGATGGTGGTTGGAGAGGATAAGGCAAAAGTGTTGAATATTGTGAAGCCCAACATAGCCCACTTTCGTGAGCTCTACGGCAGCATTCTACAGGAGAATCCCCAAGTGGTGTATAAAATCCAGCAAGGCAGCCTGGAGGTAAACTATCTGTGGGAAATCCTGTGGATTTATGTTCTTCCATATATTTGAAATAAGGCTAAAAGGTACACAAATGACTAGTAAGTGACTAGTAATAAGAGGCTGCCTTTGGAGAAGGGGACCAAGGGCTGACATGAGGCGGGGGGGGGTGGGGGACTGGTCTTCATCGTGTGTATCTTTTTTGCCATTTGAAGTTCTTACTATGTATGTTAATTATTAATCAAAAATGAGTGAAAATAAACTCTGAAATTACCTTCTTTCCATCCCCAAGCCCATCTGCCTCCCCAGCGGTAGCCTTATTAACAGTTTGGCATGTTTTCTTCCAGATCTTGTTGCATGTACTTTTGTATGTATTTGTACATATACACATGTATGAAGCAGTTTGGTCTTTTTTGTTTGGTTTTATTTTACATAAATGTATTCATACAGGTTATTCTGAAGCTTGTTTTTTCCCCACTTGTTATATGTATCATGTCTTGGAACTTTTCTTTAGATACATCAAACAAAACTTTCTTTCAAGGCATTCTTCAAAATATTAAAGTTTTTGAAAAGAAAAATCAAAGAGCCTTTCCTTTGAGAAAAGTAATTTGCATTTAAGATTTTTTAAACTTTAGAATTCATAGTTTTGTATCTTCAAGATAAGGAGCACTATTTTACTTTTTTAATGCTCTTCTTCTTCCACATAATAGGGGCAACTAATATGTTGAATGACAAATTAATGGCATTTCTAGAACTGAAAGGAAACTTTTAAAAAGTAGGAATTATTTTAAATGTAATGTTGGAGAATAACATGAATGCCCAGAATACCCACCACTCAGGTCAACAGATTTTGCCATGTTTGCTTTAGATTGAGGTTTGTTTTGTTTTGTTTTGTTTTTGCGGTACGCGGGCCTCTCACTGTTGTGGCCTCTCCCGCTGCGGAGCACAGGCTCCGGACGCGCAGGCTCAGCGGCCATGGCTCACGGGCCCAGCCACTCCGCGGCGTGTGGGACCTTCCTGGACCGTGGCACGAACCCGCGTCCCCTGCATCAGCAGGCGGACTCTCAACCACTGTGCCACCAGGGAAGCCCTAGATTGAGGTTTTTTGTTTTTAATTTTTACTTTTCTCAAAGTAATGCATGCATATTGTTTAAAAACCAAGTGGCACCCCAAGATTTGTAACAAAAAGCAGCAGTTCCCTGCTGTACACCTTCCTGCTTGGCTGTGCTACTTCCCAGGGTAACTGCTTTCGTCTCCTTCACTGATTCTGCTTACGTTTATCCCCATATTTCTAAGTAATATGGTTTGATTGTTATTCTTGATTTTTTTCAATTTGTACTTTATTTTTGTCATCTTTCTATGGAAAATGAGGATTTTTCACTCTCTTATGCACCGCAGTCAGAACAATGAAAAACAGTAACCCTTTCGCCCAACCCCACTCCTCCACCGCTTATGCTCCATGTATAGTTATTACATAATTTTGGGTTAGGGTAATAGTCGATATTTACTTTATTGTGACAGTTGACTTTCTTCATTGCTAAGATATACTACTGTGAAATTTCCTTTCCTGTACAACTTTGTTTTTCTTGGAGTTAATCACTGTCTCATTTTTTTCACTTGCTTAGTTTCTACGTACCTGTAACTAATTCGCCCTCAAATTCTGCTACAAATCTGTAGAACACCTTCCACTGTAGACGAACACATCAGGTGTGTTCTCTCTTTCTTACTTTTCTTGGGGGCGTGCTTCCTGGAGCCCTGTGTCCCCTGTTCCTTTCGGGGCTGGTTCCGTTCTCGGCTTGATGCACAGCTCTTCTCCTGAAACTTTCTTTCATTAATACCCGAGAATTTCTTCCCCTCTCCTGTGCAAGTTTTTGGTTTACTGGCTCTTTTCCTCTTTCACGGTTTACACTTTAATTTTGATGAAGTATACCTTTTGGTACTTCCTAACATAGGCTGTAAAGGAGGTAAATATTTTGAGACCGTGTACATCTGAAAATTCTACCCTCACACTGATTGATAGTTTGAGCTAGATATCAGATTCTAGGCTGGAAGTAATTTTCCCTCAGAAGTTTTAAGTCATAGCTTCATTTATTCTAGCTTCTAGTGTTGCATTCAAAAGTCCAACACTAGAGACTGTCATACAGAGTGAAGAAGTCAGAAAGAGAAAAACAAATATCGTATATTAACACATGTATGTGGAACCTAGAAAAATGGTACAGATGAACCGGTTTGCAGGGCAGAAGTTGAGACACAGATGTAGAGAACAAACGTATGGACCCCAAGCGGGGGAAACCGCGGTGGGTTGGGGATGGTAGTGTGCTCAGTTGGGCGATTGGGATTGACCTGTATACACTGATGTGTATAAAATTGATGACTAATAAGAACCTGCAGTATAAAAAAACAAACAACTAAGACTAAACTTTCTCTGGGTTATTTGTATGGAAATATGTTAATATAAATGTTTCAGGCATTACATGAAATTTCTAAAAATCTTATATGTTCTGGTATAGTGTTATAAGTCATAATTCTAGTTATTACTTTAAAATGTATATCTCAGAAATAACTAAATTTCCTTGTCAATTGAATTATTATGAACTTTCATCAAATCTTTAACCATGGTCATTTTTAAATCTTTTGTCATTCACGGACAGTTCTGGGTGTACTCTGATGCTTTTGCAAAAATGTTCCTATAAAAGGGTTTCATCTTCAAGGAATTCATGGAAAGGGCTCTGACAAGTACAGGTTTCTGGTAACTGACCGTACTGCTGAACTGAATGAATAAGCATTTTCAGAGCTCTAATGGAAAACTGGTGAATTCATAAAAGTGCTAACAAAAGATCAAGAATGAAAAAAAAATTTACATGGGACTGAGTGAACTGATGAGGATGATTACAATTGTTGTGACTTTCTGTTTGAACTAAAAAAATAAAATGTCCAACACTATTCAGATTCCCTATCCTTTGGATGTGACCTTTTTTATCTCTCTGACAGTATTTAGGATCTATTCCTTTTTTTCCATTATTCTTAAATTTCATGATGATTTGCCTTTGTCTTTGTGTATATGTTTTTCATTTATTTTTAAAATTATTATTATTTTTTTGGCTGCACCACGCAGCTTATGGGATCTTAGTTCCCCAACCAGGGATCAAACCCTTGCCCCCTGCAGTGGAAGTGTGGAGTCCTAACTGCTGGAATGCCAGGAAATTCCCATGTTTTTCATTTATTACTCTGGCATTTCATGAGCCTCTCTTGGAAATTCACGAGCTTCAGTTCTAGGAAATTTTCTTTTATCATTTCTTCATATCCATTTTCTTAGCTTGTTCTTTCTAGAATTCCTGTTAGTTGGTTGTTGGACCTCCTTGTTCGATTGTTTCTTTCCCTCATTCCTGTTTCTTTGGGTTTTTGTTCTGTTTTCCAGAAGAACTTTTTGAATCGATCTTCTAACACTTCTGTTGAATTTTTAATTTCCTCTGAATGTTCCTTTTTATAGCATCCTGTTCTTGTATGAATGCATTATCTTTCCTCATCTCTTTAATGATCTTTATTATATTTTTTGAAGTTTTTTCTTGCTCTCTATATTGTATCTGTTTCTCTTAGTTCCTTTTTTTCTATGGATTCACTCTCATCTGTTGTGTTAGAAGCTTTTCTCAAATGTTTGCACGTCCTTTGTGGCCTGTATTTTAAAGAGCAAGGCAGTTTAAAAAATGCAGACTGGGAGTTCTTTGTGATGGATAGAGCTTGTCAGCTAGTGAGCTTCACTATAGGATTTGGGACAAGGACCTGGCTGTTTCATTGGAGGACCCCAAGTTTCAGTATTTGTAGCATTTCTCCAGAGAGACATCATCTACTCTCTGGTTAGAGGATAGGGAAAGATAATGTGCCTAGCTGCCAACTTTTAGAAACTGAGCAAGGGAAAAGAGCTGGGAATTTCCTTTAACTGTGAAAATAAACTTCCAAATCCCTCAGTTTGGCCTCTGAAAGCCTGGATGATCTATGTTCTAACTGGCTTCTTATTGTGGGGAAATGCACAAGAATAAGATGAGTGAGCTGAGCTTCAGTTCCCAGAGATGCATCTAATCTTAAAGCTGCCACTGATACCCATCTTCTCCCACCTCTGCTGCCCATTCCAAATTCCCCTCACCCTTTCTAGCATTTCGGCTAGTCTAGGTGAGGTGGCCCAGACCCTCATCCCTGAGGAGTCTGAGACCCTGGTCACCATGCCCGTCTCGGACTGTAGCTACTACACTTGCCATTTACCATCGAAGTTGGGCAAGAGGTAGTAAGAGATGTGTACCAGCAGCCCTACCTCCTGATGGTCAGGTTTAATTATTTCTGCCAGTATGGTGATTCATTTCTTTGTCTTCTGGACTTCTTGTCTGCCTGGGATTCTAAAGTGATTGGATGGCAGTTATAGCTTTAAGTTCGTTTGTTTTTTTAATTAGTTATCCATTTTGTACATATTAGTGTATATATGTCAATCCCAATGTCCCAATTCATCACACCACCCCCCCCCCCCGTGACTTCCCCCCACTTGGTATCCATACTTTTTGTTCTCTACATCTGTGTCTCTATTTCTGCCCTGCAAACCGGTTCATCTGTGTCAGTTTTCTAGGTTCCATATATATGCATTAATATACGATATTTGTTTTTCTATTTCTGACTTACTTCACTCTGTATGACAGTCTCTAGGTCCATCCACATCTCTACAAATGACCCAATTTCATTCCTTTTTATGGCTGAGTAATATTCCATTGTATATATGTACCACATCTTCTTTATCTATTTGTCTGTTGATGGGCATTTAGGTTGCTTCCATGACCTGGCTATTGTAAATAGTGTTGTAGTGAACATTGAGGTGCATGTGTCTTTTTGAATTACGGTTTTCTCTGGGTATATGCCCAGTAGTGGGATTGCTGGTTCATATGGTAATTCTGTTTTTAGTTTTTTAAGGAAGCTCCATACTGTTTTCCATAGTGGCTGTGTCAGTTGACATTCCCACCAACAGAGCAAGAGGGTTCCCT